ACTTCTCCTCCCAGTCTCCCGACACAAGAAATCTATCGAGTCGAGAAAAGGTAAGAGGAGAACGTCCACTAGACCAAGTAAAAGGCCCTCCCTCCAAAGGCAAGTCAACCAGCCCAGAATCATCAATGAAAGCCGAAAAGGACTCCATGTCAGACGTCCACCTTCCCCCCATCGATCTCTTAAAAGGGGAGCGAACAACATTGAAATCTCCTCCAATACACTACAACAACAAACAATGCCCACCACAATCCCCCAGCTCCTCCCATAACATCGGCCTTGTCAGATCATCCATAGGCCCATACACACCCGAAAAGACCCAATGGAAACCATCCTCCACCGTAGAGAACACACATGAAATAGAGAAATTCCCAATCCGAAAATCCACCAAAGACACCCATTTGCTATCCCACAAAACAAGAACACCACCCGCAAAGCCATTGGCATCCAAGGCACACCACTTCACAAATCTCCCACCCCAAATGTTTCGCACAATCAAATCCGTCATTGAAGCAATCTTGGTTTCTTGCAAACACACCACATGACCTCCCCCTTTACGAATAACCGACTTCACCACTTTGCTCCTCACCGGGTCATTTTGACCCCATACATTCCATGACAAAATTTGTAGCTTCATAGGGAGACAGTAGCAAAATCCGTCCCTCTCCTCCTCCCATTGTCCCTTTCCCTGGACCCCTATTCTGCCTTTCATAAGTAACAAGATTTGCGGATCTCCGCACCTCCCTCTCAGTTGTCCCTTCCTGAACACCACTCCTACATCCCATTCTTTCCAAAAGCTATTAATTTAGGATACCATGGAACATACTCAACGCCTCCTCCATTCTCTCTTCAAAAGACACTCCCAAAAGAGAGCCCACCTCCCTTCATAAGTAACAAGATTCGCGGATCTCCGCACCTCCCTCTCAGTTGCCCCTTCCTGAACACCACTCCTACATCCCATTCTTTCCAAAAGCTATTAATTTAGGATACCATGGAACATACTCAACGCCTCCTCCATTCTCTCTTCAAAAGACACTCCCAAAAGAGAGCCCACCTCCCACCCTTTTTCTCTGAACCACTCCTCCTCCAAATCCCCCCTTCCAACATCAGCAACAACACCTTCCGAGCAGTCCTCTTCAAGTCGAATGATAGCCAAAGGAACACACGTCTCCACAGCCTGCTCAGCTCCTTCCCACTGAATCAACTCCAGCTCCCCATCAAGAGAAGAACACGAAACTCCTTCCCAATCCTCAAGAACAGAGGTGAAAGGAGCGTAACCATCCATTGGAGTCCCAAATTCCTCATCAAAAAGAAGGCCCCCTGGCTTAGCCTGAAAGTCTTTCAACGCCAAGTGAACCCGTAGGTCCTTTAACAAAGCAACATCAGAAACATCATCCAAACATATCTGCATATCCCGTCCCACACATAAAGTAATGCCCTCCCGTTTCTTGTCAAGAGACCCCACGGATCCCACCAAACAACCCTGTCCATCACAATTCTGCTCAGCCCTCCGATGCTGCCTCAAAAACCTGAGACAACCTTTTGGAAAAAGAGGACAGCCCTTCCTTCTCCATTCCGGCACACCGCTTTGTCACCCCACAGAGAGGAGCAGAATAGGAAGAGGAAGGATGAAGAAGAGAGCTTCTCGGCTGAGAGGTGGACTTACCTGGAGAAGAACCAGACGTGTTATTCACCACCCATTTTTGTTTCTCCTTGCATGACCATCTCCTTTGGATTGCAGGGAGAAGAAGCTTCTTCTTATTTCTCAGTCGGCGACCTTGCAAAGGCCGCACCTCACGCCGTTCATCCTTAAAAAGACCTGAATCCTTAAGACCAGGTCCGTCAGTTGAAGAAGCAGGTCCATCAGTTGAAGAAAAAGGCTCAAACCTATTGGCCACCTTCAGCCCAGAGTCAACAGAATTGAAACGCGGCCCACCCTTCAGATTGCAGCCCAAAACAGAAAGGGCACAAAAAACCTTGCCTACCTGGGCCTTCTTAGCACAAATCAGATCACTACAACAAGAGTCTAGGCCTCGACCCACCGTAAGTCCATGAGGAGCCGGACCAGTCAAACTACGCACAATGGCCCCAACCACCGGCCCAACCATAAGCCCATCAGAACGTGAGGCCTGTAAAGTTTCACGTGGTTCAAATTTAAACTCATTTGACAATGTGGATACAGCTGTATCCCACCCCAAACGTCCAACTCCAGAGCGCCAACCACGTGTCTGGTCCCTTACTCTTCCCCACCTACGCGCTGAAGGCATGTGAAAACCACCTCGGTTTCTTCTCCGATCTCCAACATGGGAAACCGGCAGACTGTCATGACCTCTAAAACCTCCCCTCTGAGAATCCCGTCGAAAAACAAACCTACCACGATTAAACGATGATGAAGAACCTTCATTCCTTTTCTGAGTGAAGATTCTTTTGAAGCATTCCGTGTTGCGAACCCAAACCTTATATCCCTCCACGCCTTCCATTTCTGAAATTCAGCTTTCCCCTTCTGTCCTATGGACTCCCATATCATACAATCAACTTTCTTCAGCAGATGCTAGCCATCTCCTCCTTCCAAGTTGTCCGTCGTTGGAACAAGAACAGGGTGATTCTCCTCCCAAACAGCCACCTTATAGTAGAATCGGTCATCATGGACGAAGACAAAAGGAGGGCAAGCACATCCCACTGAGACCGTGATATGTACTCTTTCGGGATCCTTGGACTCATCCGCATCAACCCAAATAAAGCCACCACAAAGGTCGCCGATTGTCACAAACAAATCATGGCTCCAGAGGTGAAGAGGGAGACCATAAAGCGTAACCTTCTTCAACCCTTGCATCTTCAAAACCTCGGAGCAACCCACTCTGAAATTCCAAGCCTCCACTCGGAGAGAAGCCTTACCCCGTTCCCGACGGCCCTCCTTGAGAACTCAAGTTGCCTCCGCGGAAGAGGGGAGACGAAAAAGGATCAACGAGTCCGGCAAAGGCGAAACCACCACTTCAGCTGAAATCGTCCAAGCTCGCGTTGCCCAAGCGGCGATCTGAGCCAAATCACCCACTTCCTTATCAAACTGACCCACTAAACACGATCGCAGGTCCTCTTTCCTCCTACCAACTGAATCATCGTCCAAGAAAATCGAAGGACCTCTGTACGTGTTTGTAGACCTGGCAAACCCACCTTGAAAGAGACGAGGTAAACGAGCAACCTCCAAGAAAGAATGTATAATAAACCAGAAACAGAAGAAAGAGACGAAATCAAGCAAAACCCCCAACAGAAAACACAAACCACAAACCCAACAGAGAAAGAGAACAGCGAAAAGAAGAGTAGCAGAGGATTTCACCGGAATTTATGACTCCGTTGACTGGTCAAAGTAGTAGACTCCGACCGCATCTCAACCACGATGTCAATAAATATACCAAGGGAAGAATATTTTCATAGCAAATAGCTCATGATGCATTTTTCTTGGAAAATATCAATGGCTCACCAAATTTACTGTTTGGAGTTTTGAGATTTAATCAATTCTATTGAAATTTTACACAATTAAAAGTAAAAAAAAAAAAAAGAAAAAAGGTAAGGATTTACTATTCACATGAATTTGTCATTAGAATGATCTAAAGTCACACATGAATTAGTAGTGATATGGTCCCGCTTGCCATCTCATTTATCTCGAGGCAAATTTACATATACATAAATACACATATATATTAGTTCAAATGCATGTAAAAACCTCTAATTATTTAACACACGAGAATGTATCAACCAAGCATCAAGGGGGAGGGGGAGACCTTTGATCTAACAAGAAATGGAGACTAATATATCTTCTAATGGTTTTGAAAATACCGTCTTTCGCAGAGCTAAAGACAAGACTTTTCGGTGTTGTTCAACTAGTAGGCCTGTGCTTTTGATAGACGTTGAAATGGAGGGTTCAAACTTGAGAACAACTGCATTATGGAGTTTCTAGGTTTTTTTTTTTTCCCCCTGCACGGGAGATTGCAGAGAATGCATGAATCCGCAGATTATTATAGCACTAAAAAATAACAAATAAAAAACTACCTCAACCAACAAAAAGAATTTGTGTGTGTATATAAATCATCACACAAACGAAGTACTAAACAGAAAATTAAGTTTACAGAGATTCTAAAATAAAAGAACAGAGTATTAGACCGGAGGAATGCAAAATAACACACTACTATGTCATGCTATGTGGTGAGAACCAAATTAAAGAATACTAATTTAACATGAAGAATGCAAAAAGTTATCACAAAAGTCAACTCTAACCATTAGAATTGTGAACGAAATTTTCTATTTAATTATTAAGATAGCAAAAGCATGCAGGTAACTTGAAATCCATTCATATGGGAGGACAATCCTCTAATGGGTACTAATGAATTGTACAAATAAGTGAGCTAAAAGTAGTTTTATGGCCAAAATCTTCATATTAAGCATTAAATCCAAAATATTGAACTGTCAGAGAAACCATATATGTTTTATGGTCACCAAAAATGAAAATAAAAATAAAAGAACAGAACAATGATGATGCCTAACAATCCTTCTCTTTAAATTTTGAATTACCTGATATCATTGGTAACCTAAAACATTTGAGAATTCTTGAGATTCGTTATTCTTCGATAGTGAAATTACCTAGTGCCATCGGATTGTTACCGAAACTTGAAGAATTAGATTCCTCTAGTTGTTTCAATTTGGAGAGGTTACCTGATCTATCGCGCTCGGAAATGCTGAAAGAATTAAAGCTCTTCCAGTGCGTGAAGCTACATAAAATCAAGGGTCTTAAGGGTTTGAAATCCTTGAAGACTTTGCACTTGCAAAATTACACAGCTTTGGCGAGGTTACCTGATCTATCGAACTCAGAAATACTGGAAGAATTAAAGCTCTCCCAGTGTGAGAAGCTACATTAGATTGAGGATCTTAAGGGTTTGAAATCCTTGAAGACGCTCGACCTATCATATTGCACGACCTTGGAGAGGTTACCTGATTTATCGAACCCAGAAATGTTGGAAGAATTAAATCTCTCCCAATGCCAGAAGCTGCATGAGATTGAGGATCTTAAGGGTTTGAAATCCTTGAAGACGCTTGACCTATCATATTGTACGACCTTGGAGAGGTTACCTGATCTATTGAACTCGGAAATGTTGGAAGAATTAAATCTCTCCCAGTGCCAGAAGCTACATGAGATCGAGGGTCTTAAGGGTTTGAAATCCTTGAAGACACTCGACCTATCATATTGCACGACCTTGGAGAGGTTACCTGTGGCGAATCGAATATGGGTGGGTGTGCGTGGGCGGGTGCGAGGCACTGGCAGGCTACCACACTAGGCGAGTTACAGGTGCACAATCCCACTTCGCCTGGGTGTGGATGAGGCAAGTGCTATATGTAGATTCAACACTCTTCTATAACACAACGCGTTTTAAAGTCGTGATAGCCGTGAACCTACCAGAACTCCGGAGTTAAGCGTGCTTAACCTGGAGTAGTACCAGGATGGGTGACTCGTTTGGAAGTCTCTAGTCCGGGGAAGCCAAAAGAGGACAATATTGTGTCTGGCTTGGGTGAGGGTTGTTACAAATGGTATCAGGGTCTAACCCAGCCGGAAGTGTGGCCAACGGGGACGTTAAGCCCCAAAGGGGGGTGATTGTGGCGACCCAAATATGGGCAGGTGCGTGGCATTGACAGGTTACTACACTGGGCGAGCTACAAGGGTGTGGATGGGGCAAGTGCTATATGTAGATTCAACACCCTTCTATGATACAATGCGTTTTAAAACCGTGATGGCCGTGAACCTACCAGAATTCCAGAGTTAAGCGTGCTTAACCTGGAGTAGTACTAGGATGGGTGACCCCCTGGGAAGTTTATGGTCCGGGTGAGCCAAAAGCGGACAATATTGTGTCTGGACAGGGTGAGAGTTGTTACATTACCTGATCTATCGAACTCGGAAATGTTGGAAGAATTAAATCTCTCCCAGTGCCGGAAGCTACATGAGATTGAGGGTCTTAAGGGTTTGAAATCCTTGAAGACACTCAACTTATCATATTGCATAGCCTTGGAGAAGTTACCTGATCTATCGAACTCGGAAATGCTGAAAGAATTAAACCTCTTCCGGTGCCTGAAGTTACATCAGTTTGCGGGTCTGAAATCCCTGGAGATGCTGGACTTGCCGTGTTGCACAGCCTTGGAGAGATCACTTGATCTATCGAACTCGAAAATGCTGAAAAAATTAAAGATCGCCCAATGCCCGAAGCTACATGAGATTGAGGGTCTTGAGAGTTTAAAATCCTTGAAGACACTGGACTTGTCATATTGCACAGCCTTGGAGAGGTTACCTGATCTATCGAACTCGGAAATGCTAGAAGAATTAAATCTCTTCTAGTGCCATAATCTACATGAGATTGAGGGTCTTAAGTGTTTGAAATCCTTGAAGACGCTCGACTTATTATATTGCATAGCCTTGGAGAGGTTACCTGATCTATCAAACTCGAAAATGCTGAAAGAATTAAAGCTCTTCCAGTGCCTGATGCTACATGAGATTGATGGTCTCAAGGGTTTGAAATTCTTGAAGACGCTGGACTTGTCATATTGCATGACCTTGGAGAGGTTACCCGATCTATCGCACTTAGAAATGCTGGAAGAATTAAAGCTCTTCCAGTGCTAGAAGTTACACGAAATTGAGGGTCTTGTCGCTTTGAAATCCCTGAAGACGTTGGACTTGTCATATTGCAGAGCCTTGGAGATGTTACCTTACCTATCGAACTCAGAAATGCTGGAAGAATTAAAGCTCTTCCAGTGCCAGACGCTACATGAGATTGAGGGTCTTAGGGGTCTGAAATCCTTGAGGACGCTGGACTTGTCATATTGCACGACCTTGGAGAGGTTACCTGATCTATCGAACTCAAAAATGCTGGAAGAATTAAAGCTCTTCCACTGCCTGAAGCTACATGAGATTGAGGGTCTTAAGGGTTTGAAATTCTTGAGGATGCTGGACTTGAGAAATTGTATAGCATTGGAGAGGTTCCCTGATCTATCGAACTTAGAAAAGGTGTAAGAATTAAAGCTCTTCCAGTGCCAGAATCTATATGAGATTAAGGGTCTTGTGGCTTTGAAATCCCTGAAGACGCTGGACTAGTCATATTGCACAACCTTGGAGAGATTACCTGATCTATCGAAATCGGAAAGCTCTTCCAGTTCCTGAAGCTACACGAGATTGAGGGTCTTAAGGGATTGAAATCCTTGAAGATTCTAGACTTGTCATATTGCATAGCCTTGGAGAGGTTACCTGATCTATCAAACTATGAAATGCTGGAGGAATTAAAGCTCTTGCAGTGCCAGGAGTTACGCGAGATTGAGGGTGTTAAGGGTTTTGAAATCTTGAAGACGCTGGACTTGCGATTTTGCACAGCCTTGGAGAGATTACTTGATCTATCAAACTCGCAAATGCTGAAAGGATTAGACCTCTACCAGTGCGAGAAGCTACATGAGATTGAGGGTCTTAAGGTTTGAAATCATTGAAGATACTCAACTTGTCATTGTGCATATCCTTGGAAAGACTGCCTGGTCTTTCGAACTTGGAAATGCTTGTACACTTAAATCTCGCTGAGTGCCAGAAACTACATGAGATTGAGGGTCTTAAGGCTTTGAAATCCTTGAAGAAGCTGGACTTGTCATCATGCATATCCTTGGAAAGATTGCCTGATTTATCAAGCTTTGAAATGTTGGAAAACTTAAAGCTCGCCCACTGCCAAAAGCTACATGAGATTGAGGGTCTTGAGGATTTGAAATCCCTGATGACGCTGGACTTGTCATATTGCACAGCCTTGGAGAGGTTACCTAATCTATTGAACTCAAAAATGCTGAAAGAATTAAAGCTCTTCCAGTGCTTGAAGCTATATGAGATTGAGGGTCTTAAGGGTTTGAAATACTTGAAGACGCTAGACTTGTCATATTGCACAGCCTTGGAGAGGTTACCTGATCTATCGAACTTTGAAATTCTGGAAGAATTAAAGCTCTTCCAGTGCCAGGAGCTACGTGAGATTGAGGGTCTTAAAGGTTTTGAAAGCTTGAAGACGCTGGACTTTCTATTTTGCACAGCCTTGGAGAGATTACCTGATCTATCAAACTCGGAAATGCTAAAAGGATTAGACCTCTACCAGTGCAAGAAGCTATATGAGATTGATGGTTTTAAGGGTTTGAAATCCTTGAAGACACTCAACTTGTCATTGTGCATATCCTTGGAAAGACTGCCTGACCTATCAAACTTGGAAATGCTTGTGCAATTAAAGCTCGCCGAGTGCCAGAAGCTACATGAGATTGAGGGTCTTAAGGCTTTGAAATCCTTGAAGATGCTGGACTTGTCATCGTGCATATCCTTGGAAAGATTGCCTGATCTATCAAACTTGGAAATGCTGGAAGACTTGAAGCTTGCCAACTACCAGAAGCTACATGAGATTGAGGGTGTTGAGGATTTGAAAACCTTGAAGATGCTGGACTTGTCATCGTGCACAGTCTTGGAAAGGATAACTAATCTGTCGAGAGTAACAACTTTAAAAGAATTGCGACTTCATAACTGTGTGAAACTTAGCGAGATTTGCAGACTTGGAGAACTGCAATTCTTGGACATTTCTGGATGCATGTCACTACAAAATTTACCAGACATTTTGATCATTAGAGAAGTTTGGCATTGAGAGCAAAATTGTAGGATGTCAGATTTTAGTGTTTAACATGCAACCTGATGGCATGGTAATTATCTATTTTCTGCTGATCTATGAATGATGGATTCTTTCCTTAATTGATTGTTAATTGTGATTTGTATCTCTATTCTTTTTTCAGGTTATTGATGAAACATCCATTTCAGTCATCAATTGTCACTGCAGAACTATACTTTACAATAGTATTTAGGCAGTTGAAATCAAGGTACCATGAGATGATTTCGAGACGAAAGCTCAGTTTGAAGTGAATGAAAACATTGTTTCATAATTCCTGTGGATATTAGGACTCAATTTTGCCACTGTTGCTCCGATTTCACAAATTCGTGTCGAAAGAATGAAAGATTGATTTCATAATCTCTTGAACTTTGAGACGCCATTTATCTGTTAGGGCTCAATTTCATGCATTCAATCAAGCTATAAAAAAGACAATCTTTGCTCGAGGTAATCTAATACCTTTGCACTGGAATGGTGAATTGTTTATTTTGAGATTTTAAGTTGGTTTCTTGGTTGGGGTTTGAGGTCATGTGTTGCAGAAATAGCTTCAAAGCTTTAGAGAATCAAAATATTTCCATAAGATTTGTTTCCTTTCTTAAAATTGTTTGGATCAAGAATTAGTAGTCTGTAAGAAATGCATGATTCTTTTGCATAGGGGTCGATTTTTCATGTCAATGGCAAATCAGTGTAAACATGCATGATTGTTTTCATAGATTTTGTGTAGTTCTGAATCAAATCAGTGTAAATGGTTACTAGTATTCTTACTGCCTAAATCCTAGATGATTTCATGTGGTGGACTTTGTATATGGCTGCTTATGTATTTTTAATATATTCTCAACATATTTCCATAAGATTCCTGATAGCACGAATTTTGAAGCTTCAACTTATTTTTTAAAACAATGTGGAAATAACAATTTCAAAATATTTCCGTAAGCTTTGTCTGATTTTTGGTCCTGGAAATGGGCAAAGAGTGACGAGACAGTTCCTAACGCTCATATTAAAGCCCAAAAAAAATAAAAAATTCCTTGCCAACTGCTGATGTGCTGAAATTTTGATATTTAATATGCTGGAATATTTTATATTCTAATGGTTATATATTCTACTCAATTTTAGACATACCCAACAAGTTTTCAATTTCTGCTTCTATGCGAAATACACACTGTAGTAAGGCTAAACGTCTTCATATATACTAGGAGATTCTAGGTACAGCTTAAATTAATCATATTGTTTGAACTAGATTTTGTATTTTGATGTTAAAAATGAATATAATGATCTCAAAACAAAAACTCATATTTGATGAGATGGTTGTTCTTTTATTGGCTTGCCAAGTTAAAATTTTTGTATGGGTTGCATATATGTTGCTAGTGCTGAAACGCTTAAGCACCTATTATTTTGCAACTAACAAGAGCTCAAATGCTGCTATATACTCCATTGTTGAAAGCCTCCATATTCTTATTGTTAGTTAAACTTTAAAGACCATAAGTCAACCCTCATGGATCTTGTATTGACTGTCACTTTTGTAGCTTGAGAGCAGAGTCCACAAAAAGTTTATGGCCTACCCTTTGCAAGCCTGCTGGGTAAATCAGTGGAGAGAGGAAGATTGAAGTAGAGCTTGGTTCGAAATTTGCAGCAAGTGGTTCTCCCTTTACAAGCCTGAAGAAGGTTGACATGGAAGGAGATGCAGAAAAGAAGCAACAGATGCCACCTGCTAGTGCCATGACAAGGCTCATTCTTATCATGATTTCAAGGAAGCTAATAAAAATTCCAACACCTAATCAAGCGTTTTGGGACTGAAGAGTTTGTTGTTGCAGTTTGGAAGAAGAGTTTGTATGTTGAACGACCTCATTCATATGCCATATAAATTATTAGATCTCTCTCTTCTGAAATTTCTTTCATATTGTATGGTAATGATGTTTCTTGTAAATCAAAAGCTTGTTTGATCTTTCGATGTATTTACCCCATGTGGAGATGCTAAATAAATACAAAAGTTATATTTGAGGTGAGAAGGAGAGTTATAGGGTGATAAAGTTGAGGAATTGGCAGTGGTCTGAGTGTAGGCGTATTGCCGAACTTAGGTAGCAAACGTGAGTGCTGCCATATGTTGAACTTCAGGCAGTAGTAACGATTGTTGTAATAAACAGTATGTTTGATGGCAGACATTTTTAGTTGCATAGGTCAGTTTTTATTACTTTTAGCAACAGATATAGTTGTTGCTATATCCCATTTTTGTTGTTCGATGTATCCTCTCTAAGTTTTGTGCTGCTTGTGTTATTTGAGATGATTATGATTATGACACCTTCAGATAAGTTGGAAATTTTCAATCATGATGGTGATCTTTAGATGTTTCTTCCTCCATGCTCTCCTTCAATAGAGCTGTTATTTCTCAAAACTTTTTATACCTGAGAATTTTGGTTTGGGGTCGACTCGCCACCGCTGAGATTTTTATTACTTTTAGTATTTTATTACTTTTAGTATTCTTCATGCTGTTATTTTTCGGCCTGTCCTTGCTTCTTCGGCATTGATGGCTGAAGCGTATTGTCACGATCCGATTCCTAACGACGCCATGAGCATAGAAGACACGCATGCTGGTTGGCTAAGAACATTCATTGACTGGGAATGGTTCCAGGGAAGGGGCGTGCAGGACCACAGGATGGTACCTCTTCAGAGTTCAGGCAGGTCGACTCGGTTCAGTTCGAGGTGCTTGTCGCTGGTCGTGGACTTGACTATGAAGAAGGGAGTTGGCCATCCCTGCACAAACTGGTCGGGAGCTGGAGCCGTTCCCCTGACGAGGCCATGGCAGGCCGAAACCAGTCAACATGTATCCTTGGGAGGGCAGGTCGTGGTGGCTGACCAGGGCGCTTGCGCGAGCTGAAGCAACGCCTTGGTGCCGCACGGGCCGTGCCGCTGCGCCAAATCTCTAGGCCCGTGACAAATGGTATCAGAGCTAAGGTCGTGAGGCGTCACACCTTGTGTGGAGGAAGCTATGGCGGAGCTATCAGACGTGACTGGCACCCAAGAGGAGACTCTACGTGGAAGGGAAGCAAATCCCCCTCCCGGCGGAGTGAGGACAAGGGCTAGGTCGAAGGACATCATGGCGGGCTTAGAGGCACGTATGGCAAACATGGAGGGGTCCATAGCCAACGTGTTGGAGCAGCTTGAGGATGCTCACCAGCGCATGGATGGGCTGGAGTCGGAGGACGTTGAGGTCCAAAATGCTGTCAAAGGGTCACTCAATGCCCTAAGTGGTGACTTTCGGCAGGAGCTCCAAGCACTTCGAGAACTTATGTTGGGGGAGTTTGCCACCCTACGTGGCTATGTTGATCAGGAGCTTGGCACTTTCCGCGAGCAAGTGGAGGAAATGCGAGCGGACTGGACATTGTGCAAACGGGCGGTGGCGTCCGGCACAGCTACTACGGGGGTAGTAGCACCCCGGGTTGATATTCCCAAGCCTAAGTGCTATGGTGGGAACCGGGTAGCGAGGGAGTTGGAGAACTTCCTCTTCAGCATGGAGCAATACTTTGAGGCTACGGGCATGACCGATGAGACCATCAAGATACGCACGGCGACCCACTACCTCACCGACCATGCCATGCTATGGTGGAGGAAAAAGTATGGTGACATAGGCAAAGGTACGGTCTCTATTGATACTTGGGCTGATTTCACTAGGGAAATTAAGAAGCATTTCTATCCTGAGAATGCCGAGGATGAAGCTAGGGGCAGACTCCGAAGGCTAAAACAGGTTGGGTCGATTCGGGACTATGTGAAGGAATTCACTAACTTGACTCTTGAGATCCCGGATCTATCCGACAAGGACTCTCTTTTCTTCTTCATGGATGGATTGCAGTTGTGGGCTAAGACAGAGTTGAGGCGGCGCAACGTGCAAGACCTTGCCACAGCTATTGCAGAGGCGGAGTCCTTTATTGATTTCAGCTCCAAGAAGGAACCCTCGTCCAAGCCAAAAGACAAAGACAAGGGGAGGTATGCCGGCAAAGGTGGGGGAGACAAGGGCGCTGCACCCCACAAGGATTGGTCCCGTAAGCCAGGTGGTGGCCATGGAGGCAAAGAGGGAAGGGAGAACAAGGAAGGAGCACCCAAGCCTAAGGGTTCTTGCTTCATATGTGATGGACCACATTGGATACGAGATTGCCCAAAGCGGAAGACCCTCAATGCCATGACGAGCCGTTATGAAGAGCAACAACAGGAGGAGGCGCAGATGGGTTCATTGCAAATCCTTAATGCCATTAAGGCTAAAACTGAAGTCCCTAAGGCGGCGGCTAAAGGGCTAATGTTCGTGGAGGCGAGCATCAATGGGACACCCACACGTGCTTTGGTGGACACGGGTGCATCCCATAACTTTGTGAGCCTTGACGAGGCCAAGAGGTTGGGCCTCAAGTATAGCAAAGAAGGGGGCTCCATGAAGGCAGTTAACTCGGCGGCAAAGGCTATACATGGCATGGCACACGGCGTCCAAGCATGCATTGGCGAGTGGGGTGGCCACATAGATCTATCGGTGGTACCCATGGACGACTTCAAACTAGTCCTTGGGTTGGAGTTCTTAGACAAGGTGAGAGCCTTCCCCATTCCTTTTGCTAACACTATGTGTATTATGGAAGGCAACACAGCATGCATGGTGCCGGTGGAGCGAGGCGCCAAGTTGGAAGCCCAAGCTTTGTCAGCTATGCAGTTCAAGAAGGGCTTCAAGAAGGGAGAGACTAGCTACCTTGCTACGTTACTGGAGACACCCGAAGATGAACTAGTCCCTTCCCCACAAGAAGAGGTGCCTAAGGAGATACGAGCCGTGCTAGACGAGTACACAGACGTGATGCCTAAAGAGCTGCCCAAGAAGCTTCCACCTAGGAGGGAGGTGGATCATAAGATTGAGCTGGAACCGGGTTCTAAACCCCCTGCTTTGGTGCCCTACCGGATGGCACCCCCAGAGTTGGAGGAGTTGCGGAGGCAACTTAAGGAACTGTTAGATGCGGGCTATATTCGACCATCAAAGGCCCCATATGGCGCACCGGTGTTGTTCCAGAGGAAGAAGGACGGGTCCTTGCGCATGTGCATCGACTACCGGGCGCTCAACAAGGTGACTATCAAAAACAAGTACCCCATTCCTCTCATTGCCGATCTCTTTGATCAGCTTGGTGGAGCACGCTACTTCACTAAGCTTGACTTGCGCTCGGGGTACTACCAGGTGCGGATAGCGGACGGGGATGAGCCTAAGACTACGTGTGTAACGAGGTATGGCTCCTATGAGTTTCTTGTTATGCCGTTTGGCCTCACCAATGCACCTGCTACTTTTTGTACTTTGATGAACAAGCTCTTCCATCCCTACTTGGATCGCTTTGTGGTGGTGTACTTGGATGATATTGTTGTGTATAGCACCACTCTAGAGGAGCACGTGCAGCACTTGAGGGCGGTCTTCCAAGTCCTACGGGAGAACGACCTATATGTGAAGATGGAGAAATGCTCATTTGCCCAAGAGGAGGTGTTGTTCCTAGGGCATAAGATACGGGATGGCAAGTTGATGATGGATGAGGCAAAGGTGAGGGCCATTCAAGAGTGGGAGCCGCCCACTAAGGTGACAGAGCTACGCTCATTCCTGGGGCTTGTCAACTACTACCGCCGCTTTATCAAGGGTTACTCGGCGAGAGCAGCCCCATTGACAGACCTTCTCAAGAAGGCGCGTGCTTGGAGTTGGACAGAGTCGTGCCAGGGGGCATTTGATGACTTGAAGAGGGCAGTTACGGAGGAGCCGGTACTTAGCTTGCCCGACCACTCCAAGCCATATGAGGTGCACACGGATGCATCAGACTTCGCTATTGGGGGTGTGTTGATGCAGGAAGAACACCCCATAGCCTATGAGAGCCGCAAGCTTAATGACACTGAGCGGCGCTATACTGTGCAAGAGAAAGAAATGACGGCGGTCATCCATTGCCTACGTACTTGGAGGCACTACTTGCTCGGGGCACAATTTGTGATCAAGACAGATAATGTTGCCACCAGCTACTTCCAGACACAGAAGAAGCTTAGCCCCAAGCAAGCTCGTTGGCAGGACTTCTTAGCGGAGTTCACTTACCATTTCGAATATAAGCCGGGCAAGGCCAATGTTGTGGCGGACGCACTTAGTCGCAAGGCCGAGCTCGCAGCTATCAGTCGGCCCCAACACTCTCTTGTGGAGCGAATCAAAGAGGGGTTACAGCATGACCCTTTAGCCAAAAGCCTTATTCAGCTGGCTAAGGAAGGGAAGACTCGGCGCTTTTGGCTAAGGGATGATTTACTTCTCACTACAGGGGACCGACTATTTGTGCCCAGGTGGGGCAACTTGCGAAAGGAGTTGATACGGGAGTGCCATGACACCAAATGGGCTGGTCACCCAGGTATGCGACGCACACTAGCACTCCTAGAAGATTCTTACTATTGGCCTCGGATGCGTGATGATGTGGAGACATATGTGAGGACTTGCCTTGTGTGCCAACAAGACAAGATTGAGCAACAGCATCCTGCAGGCCTATTGGAGCCATTGCCTATTCCAGAGAGACCATGGGAGAGTGTCTCTATGGATTTCATTACTTGCTTGCCCAAGTCAGAAGGTTGTGGGAGCATTATAGTGGTGGTAGATCGGTTCAGCAAGTATGCCACCTTCATACCCGCACCAGCAGACTGCACAGCAGAGAGGGCAGCAGAGTTATTTGTTGACCATGTGGTCAAGCTTTGGGGAATTCCGCAGAATATTGTCAGTGATAGAGACCCGCGTTTCACGGGTAGATTTTGGACGGGACTCTTCAAGAAGATGGGGACGGATCTCAACTTCTCTACGAGTTTCCACCCCCAATCAGATGGGCAGACAGAGCGCATCAACGCTCTCCTGGAGCTTTATTTGAGGCACTATGTGAGTGCTAATCAGCGAGATTGGGCCAAACTCCTTGGGGTGGCACAGTTTTCTTACAACTTGCAGCGGAGTGAGGCTACCAATCACAGTCCATTTGAGGTTGTCACCGGACGGCAGCCTATGACACCCAACGCCATTGCTTCAACTTGCGATGGTAAGAGTCCGGCGGCCTACAAATTTGCCAAGAGGTGGCATGAGCAGTCCGACTTGGCTAGGGCGTACCTTGACAAGGCGGCAAAGAAGATGAAGAAGTGGGCCGACACCAAGCGAAGGCGGGTGGAGTACATAGTGGGAGACCAAGTGATGGTTAAGCTACTACCCCAACAATTCAAGTCCTTCCGGAGCGTGCATAAGGGGCTAGTAAGGAGGTACGAGGGCCCGTTCCCCATCGCCAAGCGGGTGGGCAAGGTCTCCTACATGGTGGAGCTTCCACCCAAGTTGAAGATACATCCAGTCTTCCATGTCAGCATGCTCAAGCCTTATCATGAAGACACGGAAGACCTTACTCGGGGCATTTCGCATAGGGCACCCACAGCCGTTGTCACATCCTTTGACAAGGAAGTTGATTGCATCCTTGCAGATCGTGTGATGAGCAGGAGAGGCGTGCCCAAATATACAGAGTATTTAGTGAAGTGGAAGAACCTGCCAGATAGTGAGGCGAGCTGGGAGCATGAGGATACACTATGGCAGTTTGCGGAGCATATCCAGCGGTTCAAGCAAGAAGACGCGACGAGGGCGTCGCGAGCTTAGGTGGGGGAGAATGTCACACCCCGCTACCAAGAGGCTATGCCACGTAGGCGCCACGCAGACGCCCAGCAGACGATGACATGGAGCCTGCATGGATTGGAGCTTTCTAGACTTCTCTACACAAGTATGGAACTTTCCGGAATTCTCTAGATTAGTGTGGAGTTGTCTAGCCTTTTCTAGACTTGTCTAGAGTTGTATAGAATTCTCTAGAATTCTCTAGACTTGTCTTGTACATAGTAGATAGTTCTAGAGTTGTGTAGATATTTCTGGAGGATTCTAGACACTAAATCTAGGCCACACATTTGTACACATCTAGAATGTTCTTGTAAGGCCAAAGGCCTATAAATAGGAGGTGGGAGTTCATTTGCTCCTCACCAAGCAACCAAGTTGTAATCTCTCCTCTCAAGTAATACAAGTTGTATACATTCCCAAACTCTCTTGCTCACTTGCCTAACCTCTTCCTACACACCCAAGTAAGCAAAACACTTGTCTAGCCTTAGTCTTCACTAAGCTAGCACACTCGGGTAGGCTGACTTAGCGCTTCAAGGGGGCTTGAAAGTGTCTAAGGCCGCACGGGAGCTTGAAAAGGTTCAAGTCCGTGACAGTAAATGTCACACCCCGCTACCAAGAGGCTATGCCACGCAGGCGCCACGCAGACGCCCAGCAGACGATGACATGGAGCCTGCATGGATTGGAGCTTTCTAGACTTCTCTACACAAGTATGGAACTTTCCGGAATTCTCTAGATTAGTGTGGAGTTGTCTAGCCTTTTCTAGACTTGTCTAGAGTTGTATAGAATTCTCTAGAATTCTCTAGACTTGTCTTGTACATAGTAGATAGTTCTAGAGTGGTGTAGATATTTCTGGAGGATTCTAGACACTAAATCTAGGCCACACATTTGTACACATCTAGAATGTTCTTGTAAGGCCAAAGGCCTATAAATAGGAGGTGGGAGTTCATTTGCTCCTCACCAAGCAACCAAGTTGTAATCTCTCCTCTCAAGTAATACAAGTTGTATACATTCCCAAACTCTCTTGCTCACTTGCCTAACCTCTTCCTACACACCCAAGTAAGCAAAACACTTGTCTAGCCTTAGTCTTCACTAAGCTAGCACACTCGGGTAGGCTGACTTAGCGCTTCAAGGGGGCTTGAAAGTGTCTAAGGCCGCACGGGAGCTTGAAAAGGTTCAAGTCCGTGACAAATGGTATCAGAGCAGGACTTGGGGAAAAGCACAGAGGTGTGCCCCCTTGTCGATCCGGGGGTCTTGAGAATGAAGACGGTGCACTGAAGTTGCGTCGATGTGGAGGAATCAATGCAGTTGGGGGGGAGAGCCTCCATCTCCCCATGAAGACGCGTCCGTTAAGCCGGAGGGCAGCGCGCATCGGATGGCCGGAGGGCCGCGCGCACCAAAGTTCTTGCAAGTTCAAGAGGCGTGCAAACCGTTGTGAAGGGCGGGTATCAAGTCAGCCGGAGGGCGCTTGTTTGCTCGGGGTGTCGCGGAGGCGGCATAACGTGGGGTTGCGTCCCGAAGAAGTGGGCGTCCCTTTAGCCCGAAACCCTATCATTGGGCGAGTGCAGCCAGGGGTTGTACAAGGAAGCGATGGTGGGCAGCGAGCATACCACTTGGAGGAGACAGGCTTTGGAATGTTGGACGCAGCGGAGTCAGCGCCGCACTGCGACGAGGGCGTCGCAGGATTTGGGTGGGGGAGAATGTCACGATCCGATTCCTAACGACGCCATGAGCATAGAAGACACGCATGCTGGTTGGCTAAGAACATTCATTGACTGGGAATGGTTCCAGGGAAGGGGCGTGCAGGACCACAGGATGGTACCTCTTCAGAGTTCAGGCAGGTCGACTCGGTTTAGTTCGAGGTGCTTGTCGCTGGTCGTGGACTTGACTATGAAGAAGGGAGTTGGTCATCCCTGCACAAACTGGTCGGGAGCTGGAGCCGTTCCCCTGACGAGGCCATGGCAGGCCGAAACCAGTCAACATGTATCCTTGGGAGGGCAGGTCGTGGTGGCTGACCAGGGCGCTTGCGCGAGCTGAAGCAACGCCTTGGTGCCGCACGGGCCGTGCCGCTGCGCCAAATCTCTAGGCCCGTGACAGTATGCTTGTCTCCGTGCAATCTCTTGGGCATCTTCTTTTGGGTATTAACGCTTATGTTTTGAGTCTGACGCTAAGGGTGTGGTTGACGCTGTTCACGATGCTTCGAGTTGCCCATTCGAAATTGCTTCAATTTGTTTTGATATCCGCATGGACCTTCAGGCTTTCGTTGTTGCTTCTTTGGAGCATGTTCGTCGTTTGGGCAATCGAGTAGCTCATGATCTTGCTATGCTGTCTCGAGATCCTTTCCCTGTTGATCAGGAGCTGTTTTCACTTCCCCCACACATTTCTGCTTCTGCTACTTTGGATGCCATGGTTCTTTCTTCGTAGTTTTTGTTTTGTTTTGTTGTTGGTTTGTTTTGGATTGTTGGGGTTTTCTCGTTGTGTTTGTCTTGTTGTTGTTTCTTTTGCCGGGCTAAAAAAGAAAAAAAAAATAAAGAAAGAAAGAGGTTAATCAGTAACTTATATATATATATATATATATATATAATAAGTAAAATGTTCTGTTATAAAGTCGAAATAAATAAATAAAATAAAATAAAAGCTCGTAAAAAGTAGAAAGTTTGTAGGGTTGAATTGGCCCATCTTGGGCGAATTCATTAAAGCTTAAAATTGGTGATGGTGAGTGAAGTCCGTGGATGGGGGTTAGAGGTTCGGAGGTCACAACGGTCGGAAGCATCAATCTCAGCGGTGGCGAGTCGACCCCAAACCAACTGGTAAATTCTTTTGACAAAGCGTTTTCTGATTTGATCACTAGCATCTTCTTTTATTTTTGACCACTTTTTCCGACTCAACATATTTTGCTCAAATAAAAAAACGGAGTTGGGTTGCAGGAATCGGATCCTTTGCTTGTGCCTTTTGGTGGTGTTGGTGTGCAAATTAAGAAATTGAAAGATTCATTTATTCAATAACCAGAAATTTAGCTTCTCATCTGTTTTTTTTTTTTTTTTTTTTTTGTCATTTCTAACCACTGAAACTTAACAGGAACTCATCAATACCGAGCCTCTCAAATCACAAATTTGAAATGGATACAAACTACTGGTTATGGCTCTCTTGTCTGATCATCACACTTGCTGCAATTCTCCTCCCCTTTCTTGTGTTCATTAAGAAGAAGACCAGGAACACTTCATTACCACCTTTGAACAATTCTTCATTGTCCACCTCTCCACCTGTAGGATGGGACTATGAAGTGTTCTTGAGTTTCAGAGGTGAAGACACTCGTAAAACCTTCACTGACTACCTCTACACCGACCTTGTGGACTCAGGAATTCGCACGTTTAGAGACAACAATGAGCTTCGCATTGGAGAGAAGATAGGTGATGAGCTTCTCAAGGCAATACGACAATCAAAGATATCCATCCCGGTCTTTTCCAAAGACTATGCTTCAAGTAAGTGGTGCTTGCTTGAGCTCACCACAATGGTTGAGTGTAAGAGGACATCGGGGCAAATCATAAAACCCATTTTCTACGACGTTGAACCGTCCGACGTACGAAAGCAGATGGGCAGTTACAAAAAGGCCTTCCGGGAACACAAGAAGCATTTTGATAGTGCTACTGTGGAGGGGTGGAAGGAAGCCTTGAGGGAAGTTGGGGAATTGAAGGGATGGGAAGTGAAGAATGTTGCTGATGGGTAATTGTGCATATTTACTTATATATAATGATTCTCCAATTTTAACTTTTCTCATTATTTTCCTCTAATGCAAATTTTCCTTATTACCACAAACTATAAACTTTTTTGGTTCCATTCTCTCAAATTAGGTCACTAGTCTAACTTCATTTACAAACAACAGTTTTTACAAATTGTTAATCAAATGAATTTTGGAACTGCATGAGATTTCTAAGTTTTCTGAGAATAGGCTATATTTTTATTGTCCTTCCTAGTTCCCATATATACGTGACATCAATTATGTTTGCAGGCACCAAGGAGAACTGGTAAAGAGGGTTGTTTCAGAGGTTTGGGGAGAGCTGAAAAGGAACTCATTGGTTGTAAATGATTGCTTAGTTGGAATTGATGATCATGTAGAAGAAATGATGAAATTGTTGAGTGTTCATTCCAGTGATGTAAGGATTGTGGGAATCCATGGCATGGGAGGAATTGGCAAGACCACTATAGCCAAGGCCATTTACAACCAACTCTCCCAACACTTTGAATCATGTTGTTTCCTTCCAGATGTAAGAGAAACAGCACAACAACACAATGGTCTTGTTCATTTGCAAAACCAACTTATATCTAACATCTTAAAACGAAGATGCGTTGACATTAGTACTATGGATGAAGGTATTAATGTAATCAAAGTTAGATTTTCTGGGAAGAAAGTTCTTGTTGTCATTGATGATGCGGATCAAAGAATTCATCTTCATGCACTGGTGGGAAAGTGTGATTGGTTTGGTTCAGGAAGTAGGATAATTGTCACAACAAGAAACAAAGATATTCTAAATCTGCCTGAGGTAGATTGTAGGACTTACGAACCAGAGGAATTGGATTATAATCAATCTCTTCGACTTTTCAGCAGACATGCTTTTAGAAGGGACAATCCCCCAGAAGACTATGATATTCTCTCTAGAGATGTTGTGTCCACTACCGGAGGGTTGCCTTTGGCTCTCGAGATTATTGGTTCTTTTTTATCTGGCAAGAGAAAAGCGGTGTGGAATGAGACATTGAAGAAGTTGACGAGAATACCGGATGGACAAGTGCAGAAGAAGCTGAGAATAAGTTTCGAAGCATTAGAATATGAACAACAACAGATATTTCTCGATATAGCATGTTTTTTAATTGGAGCGGATAGAAGATTTGCTTTCCACATGTGGGATGACTGCAAATTTTATCCGGAAATTGGGATTGAAGTTCTTATTCTCACGTCCTTGGTGAAAATTGGAGATGACAATGAGCTAAGGATGCATGATCAACTTAGAGACCTCGGTAGGGATATTGTCCGTCAAGAAAATTTTAAGGAGCCACAGGAGCGTAGTAGGGTGTGGTTTCATGAGGAAGCCTATGAAATATTGGAGAGTCATTCGGTAAGATCTTACTCCTTCATAAATAGATGTCCCTTATTTTGCATTAGTTTTCTTGTTACCTTACTAACACAATTAGTCTTTTTAAGTAGGCCCCTCGATAGATATTTTTCATCAGTTAGTATACTTTGTCTAGCAATTGCTCCTTCTCTCACACATTTTTCTATTTTCCTACACTTATAGTTCAATTATATCTATCAAACTTCTTCTCATGGTTTGATTTGATTGAGCACTTTCAATAACACTTTGATATCATTAGGTAAGGCTTTCTACTAATTTGCATAAGGCCAGTCCTATTGTTCTTTAATTCGTTTTTTTTTTAGTCTATAGTTTATTTGTAAATAAATTTACTTAAAAATGTGAATTTGGATTAGTAAAAATTTTTGAAAATGAAAAAGAAATTCCATGTTAATTAATTCCATTTTTATAAAAAATAATGAGCTTTTGTAATGATAAACAAAATATTACGGAGTACAACTTAATTTAGATGAAAATTTAATAAATAAATAACCTAGATTTCTAACAAAATTAATAATATTGTATCTCAAGAAGCAAGAATAGTGGTTTATAAATAATTTTCATAGTACAGATTTTGAATTAATATATTCTATTGTATTGCCCTAGGCGTGTGCTGCCTTGCAAAGGTCAAAATAATAATGGATAAAATGCAGAAAACACCCTGTAGTATAGATATTTTGCGTATTACACCCCTCTTGTTCTAAAAACAACTCTTTGCTAATGATTTTATTCAATTAGGTCCTTTCCGTCCATCTGTCGTTAACGGAGCTAGTCAATTACTAAAATACCCTTGCTATGGAAAAAAAAAAAAAACTCAATAGTCAAAATGACCAAAAAGGAGATAGCCTATACGACATTGTGTCCATATAGCTCTAGAAATGTTCTTCTTTTGCCTCCCACTCTACTTCACACTGCTGCCACCAACCATTTCCTTCCCACTCCCCACACGCAACTCACCTTCTCCAAGCCTTCCAATGGTGACACCATCGCTGCTACTGTTCATGGCCATACTGGTGCCCCATCAACCATCTCCAAGGACACTGGAGCCTCCACAACCATCTCAAGCAATTTCTCTGTAACAGTAACCCTAACAAAACTCTTTGGCGATTGATCAATACCAGCATTAAACTCCTCAAAACCATTCGTTATCATACTCTCTGTATCTTTGACCGTCTATCCTTTATCCTCTGCTACTACTCCACCATTGCTTTCCAAGTCCTTTTTCCCCTCAAATCCGTCATTTACTGCGATTTCAACCTCACCAATCCAAAATCATTACTTGACTTTATATCTCCATGAATCATAGGAGGATCACAGCAGTGATGAAGAAACTCAAGTCTTCTCGTGATATCGAGCACTATCGAAAATTGCTTCCTCCATTCCATCAGCTCCCGCCTAGAAAGCATCGATACTTCTAAGAGAGCAACGTACCCGTACTGGATACCGATACTCCACGGATACGTGTCCGATACTTTTTAAACGTATCCATAATTTAAAAATATATTTTTTAATATCTAGCACGTATCCGATACTTCTCAAATACTTCTTAGGTATTTCGACTGCGTATCCGACACTTCTCAGAAACTTCATAACACATTTTTAACAAGTTTTTTATCCAGTTTGGTGATCAGTGGAGTAGATGGATCCAATTTTGTATTTCCAGTGCTCGCTTTTCAATTCTTGTGAATGGTGCTCCTACAGGTTTTTTCACTTGTTCGAGGGGCTTGAGATAGGGGAATCCACTCTCCCCTTTCTTGTTCCTGTTTGTCATGGAGGCCCTTAGTTGATTAATGAGTAGGGCGGTTGAGCTAGGATTTTTGAGTGGCGTTCGGGTGGGCAGGGATGTTGCTTCCCAGTTGGAGATTTCCCATTTGATGTTTGCAGATGACATGTTTGTTCTTTGTGATGCGAATGTGTCCCAGCTTTGTTATTTGCGGTGTGTTTTGATTTGGTTCCAAGTTGTTTCCGGCCTTAAGGTGAATGTTGGTAAGAGCGTTCTGGTGCCGGTGGGGGAGGTCCCTGAGATTGTGACTTTTGCTGATATTCTTTGTTGCTGTACTGGTTCTTTTCCCATCTCTTACCTAGGGTTGCCTCTGGGAGCTCCTTCAAGGTGTGTGGGGGTTTGGAATCGTGTGGTGGATAGATTTGAAAGGACGTTGGTTGGTTGGAAGAAGCAGTACCTCTTCAAGGGATGTCGGGTCACTTTGATTAAGAGCACTCTCTCATGCCTTCCCACTTATTTTATCTCCCTTTTTCAGATTCCCTCTTCTGTGGCAAAGAGGATTGAGAAATTATAGCGTAATTTTTTGTGGGGGGGTAGAGGGGAAGAGTTCAAGTTCTATATGGTTCGATGGGAGTATGTTTGTAGACCTATTCGGAATAGAGGTTTGGGCCTTAGAAGATTCGTGCCTTTTAATAAGGCTCTTCTTGGGAAATGGCTGTAGAGGTTTGGAGCGGAGAGACACTGGCTTTGGAGGAGGGTTGTGGCGAGTCGGTTTGGGGAGAGTATAGGAGGGTGGTGTTCCCTGGAAGTGCGTGGGCCTCAAGGTGTAGGGGTTTGGAAGGTTATTCGGAAGGGGTGGGATGATTTTTCAAACATATCCATATTCGACTCAGGGATGGTAGGAGGGTTAGTTTTTGGGAGGATGTTTGGTGTGGAGATATTCCTCTCGCTCTCGCTTTTCCTCAGCTTTTCAGGATTTCTACGGATAAGCAGGCCATGGTGGTCAACTGTTATCATCTTGATAGTGGGAGACTAGTGTGGGATGTTCGATTTTGGCGGTTGCTTCAGGACTGGGAGATTGAGGATGCCATTCGTTTCTTGGAGCTGTTGTAGCGCCAGAGGATTGTGGCTGAGGACTCTGATTGTTGGACTTGGGCTGATAACTCTCAGGGGCGTTTCGAGGTTAGGTCCTTCTTCAGGTGCCTCGCAGATGATCCTAGGGATTACTTTCCTTGGAAGTCCGTTTGGTGCTCAAAGGCTCCTCTTAAGGTGGCTTTTTTTGCGTGGTCCTCTGTTCTAGGAAAGATTTTAACCCAGGATAACTTAAGGAGGAGAAATCAGGTGGTGGTTAATTGTTGCTATATGTGCCTTCGCGATGAGAAGACAGTGGATCATCTTCTCTTACACTGCACCATTGCTAGAGCCTGCTAGGATTTGATGATTGGCTGGTTTGGGTTTCCATGGGTTATGCCTTGTTCCGTAAGAGGGTTGATTGAGACCTGGAGTGGTTGCTTTGTGGGAGCTCTCATTCGGGATGCTTGGAGGGCTACGCCTCTGTGTGTGTGGTGGTGTATATGGCTCGAGAGGAATAGAATATATTTTGAAGGGTAGGAGATGTCGATTTCTATTCTTAAATTCTTTATTCTTTCCACTCTTTTTTGTTGGGTTTCAGGGAGAGATTATAGATCTTTAGAGGAGATTGTTGATTTTTTGGCCTCTTTGAAGGCTTAGGTCCTTTGTGGCCTTGTGTACTTTCTTGGGATTCGCTCCCCTTTTGAGCCCTTTTATACAATTTTACTTAACAAAAAAAAAAAAAATGTAACTTTTCCAACAATAATAACATAATATAATTGGTAAGAAAATTTCAAATTTTATTAAGTGATGACTAAGGATGCTTGTTTTATGTGTTGTGAAACAAACTTCTATGTTAGAACCGGCATCCATGGCTTTCACGGTGATTTCTTGGTTCAAATCATTGAGGTTCCGCTGTAAATGGAGCCACTGTAGCGCTTTCTTGGTTCAAGCCATTGAGGGTTCCACTATAGCGATTTCTTGGTTCAAGAGGGACAGATCTATATAATGTGTGTATATATATATGTCTTTATGTATTTAATGAGATCAAGGGTATTTTGGTCAGAATAAAGGGCAATTTTGAACATCTATATATTTCTGCCAGTCACATGATGGTCACATGTTCCATTTCTTGGCTAAATTGTAATAGATCGGACAAATGGGAGTAAGTTGTAACTAATTTTCAAATGTATGGTAATACGCACAATACTACAGAGTTGTTTTCTGCATTTTACCCAAATAATAATTGGAATTTCCTGAAAGACAGTGAATCTGGTCATTAATACTAGTTTTTGTGTCCACTATAGTTGTTGCCTTAATATGTTTTTTTACGTATCTGAAGGTTCTCTTTTGGCAGGGAACAAGAAAGATTGAAGCTCTTTGTGTTAACTTTCGATCAGTGTCACAGGCATGCTGTTTTACAAATGAAGAATTTGGAGGCCTATCTAATCTAAGGTTCCTTCAAATGGACTATGCAAACCAGCTGGATGGAGATTTTAAGGGTCTTCTTTCAAAGTTAAGGTGGCTTCACTGGAATGGATGCCCTGAAATCTTTAAACCAACCAATTTTCATCTAAAGAATTTGGTCATTCTTGATTTATCATGGAGCAAGGTCACAGAAGCCTGGGAGGGTTGGAATCATATCAAGGTTTCATCAATTTCTCTGCTTTTGTTTTGTGTGTCTCATCTCATAATTATTTGTAATTGATTCTAAGCAATTCTCTTTTTCCTTATTTCGCAGATTGCAAGAAAGTTGAAAGTTTTAAATCTCACAGGTTGCATTTACATGGTTAGAACTCCTGACTTCTCCGCATATGCATCTTTAGAAAGATTGATTCTTGAAGGATGTGTGAGTTTGGTTCATATTGACCCATCAATTGAGTATCTCAAGAGTCTAGTTTTCTTAAATGTGCAGAATTGCCGTGAACTCAACAGGCTGCCTCTTGAATTTGATTCTGTGGAAGCTTTAATGAGGCTCCTCATCGACGGTACTTCTATACAAGAAGTCCCTATTGGTAGAGGTGTTATGAACAAGCTTGAAACTCTTAGTGCTACTCGTTGTAAGTCATTGAGTCAAATTTTTACCCCAGCCGGTCATCTAAAATCTCTGTCGGACCTTAAACTTGACGAATCAGGTATCACTGAACTACCAGACTCAATTTGTTCGCTAGTGAAATTGCAACGCTTGTCACTAAGGCGCTGTAAATTACAAGAACTTCCAATTTCCATTGGGAAATTAGAATCATTAATTGAGCTGCGCTTGTCAGGAACAAATATTACCGAATTACCTGATTCCATTGGCAACCTAAAGCATTTGAGAATTCTTGAGATTAACGAATCTTCGATTGTGAAGTTACCTAGTGCCATCGGAATGTTATTGAAACTTGAAGAGTTAGATGCCTCGAGTTGTTATGATTTGGAAGGCGAATTTCCCAGTAATATTGAGAGACTATCCTCTTTGAGAATCTTAAAACTAAGTTGGACAGATATCTGTAGCCTACCAACAAGCATTTGTGGGCTCTCTCACCTCCAAACCCTTGATTTAGAGTGTTGCCTACAGCTTCAGTTTCTGCCAGAGCTTCCCTGTAGTCTAGTGAGTCTAAAAGTCACTTGCATGTCAATGGAGACATTTCTAAACATTCCTAGCCTGATTAACCTAAAGGAGTTGCGCCTTTCTGACTGCTATAAGCTGTTGAAAATTCCTGAAGATATTGGGAAGTTAGTCAAACTGGAGAACTTGACCTTGGAAGGTATTAGCATTAGCATCCTGCCCATGGAGCTTGGTGGCCTTTCTCGGCTTAAGGAACTCATTTTTATAAAATGTGAACAACTTCAATACCTTCCAACTCTTCCCTCAAGTCTAGTCATACTGTGCCTTGAACGTTGTAGATCAATGAAGAGTTTTCCAGATCTGTCAAATTTGAAAAATTTATCGGAACTAGTGCTTAATCACCTGTCAGAGTTGACGGAGATTCAAGGCCTTGGAAGATTAGAACTCCTAATAAAGTTGAATGTATATGAGTGCAAACAGTTATGTACGCTTGAAGGGCTCGAACAGCTAAGATCTTTAAGATACTTGACCACATCACAGTGCGAATCACTAGAAGCATTACCAGATCTTTCGAACTTAAAGAAATTAAGGAAATTAGATGCTTCACATTGCAAGAATCTGAATGAAATTAGGGGCCTTGACAGATTGGAATCCTTGGAAGATTTGGATATGAGTTGGTGTATATCCTTGGAAAAATTGCCTGATCTATCGAATTTGGAAATGCTGGAAATATTAAAGCTCGCCGGGTGCCAGAAGCTACATGATATTGAGGGTCTTGAGGCTTTGAAATCCTTGCAGATGCTGGACTTGTCATCATGCACGGCCTTGAAGAGGATACCTGAGCTGTCGAGACTGACAAATATAAAGGAATTGAGACTTTGTAATTTTGAGAAACTTAGTGAGATATGGGGAATTGAAGAACTGAAATTCTTAAGCTTGTTGGACTTGTCATCGTGCACGGCCTTGGAGAGGTCACCTGATCTATCGAGACTAACAAATTTAAGGAAATTACAACTTTGTAATTGTGAGAAGCTTAGTGAGATTCGGGGACTTGAAAAACTGAAATTCTTGGGAAACTTGAACATTTCTGGATGCAAGTCACTAGGAAAATTACCCGACATTCCAAACTTCTGTAGAGTCGAGCGTTGAGAGCAAAATTGGAGGATTTCAGATTTTATTGTTAAACATGAAACCTGATGGCATGGTAATTATCTATTTTCTGCTAATCTATGTTGTCTTTGTATGATGGAGTTTTCCTTAATTGATTCTTAATCGTGATTTGTTTCTCTATTCCTTTTTCAGGTAATTGATGAAACATCCATTTCAGTTATCAATTGTCAGTGCAGAACTATCGTATTTAGGCAGTTGAAATCGAGGTTGTTTTCTTGTTGATCTCTATATTATATGGTTGATTAGGACCATTTTAGTCAGTGCGGTGGATGTTAGAATAGTTTGGTTTCAGTACTTCCAAGGACACATTGTGAAAAAGGTTGAAGGTTATTTCATTTCTCTTTTTACCTCAGGTGGTGTGGGGCTGGCAGCTTTGGGAAGCTAAAGTATCTCAAGAGATGAACATTTCACTTCTAAAGGAAGCTACTAAAATGGTGTAATTCCAAGTTTAAATGGAAATGGGGCCTTTTAACTTTTAAGGCATCGGACCCGATGGCCTAACCCCTATATTTTACCAAAGACACTGGGACATTTTAAAGGGGATATTACTCAAGCTTTCAATGAATTCCTACAGTCGGGGAAGTTGTTCAAAAGCTTAAATCGCACAAACATTGAACTGGTTCCAAAAGTCAAGTGCCCAACTAAGGTAAACCAGTATCACTCAATTTTGCTGTGCATTCTTCTTTGTAGCTTGTCTCTAAAGGACTCGCAAATAGGATAAAACCACTTCTATCTAGTTTATTCAGTGAGTAAACATAGTGTTTTTGTTCCTCACAGACATTTTACGGACAACATGTTAATTGCCCATGAAGCTCTTCATTTCTTGAAAAAAGAAAAGGGCTGCGAAATAAATTCAAGGCAAACAAAGTATATATGGCAAAGGCCTTTGATAGGGTGGAATTGGCTTATGTACAAAAATCTATGTAAAAATTAGGCTTTGTTGATAGATGGATCAATCTAGTCATGGAGAGTACGAGTACAGTGGCATATTCTGTGGTGCTAAATGGAAGTTCTGGTGGTTATTTTGAGGTCTAAGTTGGTTTCTTAGTTGGGGTTTGAGATAATGTGTTACAGAACAAGCTTGAAATGAATTGAAATATTTTCATAAGCTTTGTTTACTTTCTTAAAATTGTTTGGATCCAAAATTAGTAGTCCGTAAGAAATGCATTTATAATTTTATTTATTTATTTATTTATTTTTGTATAGGGATCAATTCCTCATGTCAGTGGCAATTTACAATTGAAATCAGGTACCATGAGGTAGAGAATAGTTGAAATTCCTAAACATGCGTGGTTACTAGTATGCTACATGGCAATGATACCATAAGGAATATTATCACTTTCTAAATTAGATGATTTCATTTGGAGGACTTTGTGTATGGCCACTTGAGTATTTTTTCATATCTTCTTAAAATATTTCTGTAAGATTCCTGATAGCAGGAATTTTGAAACTTGAAATTATTTTCTAAAAGAACTTGAAAATAACAATTTCAAAATATTTCCTTATGCTTTGTATGATTTCTGGTGCAGGAATGGGAGACAGTTCCTAATGCTCATATTAAAGCTGAATTTTTTTCAGAGAGGTATTTTACTTGCCTTATCAACTGCTAGTGTGCAGAAAATTTGATATTTAAGATGCTCAACTATTTTATATTCTAATGGTTATATATTCTACTCAATTTTTAGATATATGTTAACAATGGTTATATATACCCAACAAGTCCTCAATTCTGGTTTGAGAGCTGGGAAGGACCATGCTTCAAGTCATCGTATATGCTAGGAGATTCTGGTACGACTTAATTAAATCATATTGTTTGAACCATATTTTGATTTTTATGGTAAAAATGCAAACTAAAATAAAATAAATTATATTTGATGAGATGGTTGTTCTTTCTAAGGTAGCATTTATTTTTGCTAGAGCTCAAGTGCTTAAGCACCACATTTTTGCAACTAAAAGGAGCTCTCATGCAGCTAGATACTCCATTGTTGAAGCCTCCATATTCTTAACGTTAATTCAACTTAAAGACAGCAAGTCAACCCTTGTCGATCTTGTATTAATTGTTGCTTTTGTAGCTTGAGAGCGGAGTCCACAAAAAGTTAGCCAGACTTGCTGATTACCATGTTAATGGTATGGTATGTAATACACATACCAAATGAAATTTGCAATAATACTTTCTCCAATTTTCCACTCCTAACCAAGTTTGAAGAAATGAAATGTAATAATTTCTTAATCAGCAAAAATTTCTTGATTATTAAAAAAATGATAGTAGTTTTTATTTTTTAGTTCCTACCTTTTGTTTATTACTACTGCATATATTCAATCTTGATATACATGTATGCATGATTTGATGGAAAATGCAAGTCCTGCTGGGAAAACCAGTGGAGATTGAAATAGAGGATGGTTTGAATTTTCCGGCAAGTGATTCTCCATTTACAAGCCTGAAGAAGGTGGACATGGAAGGAGATGCAAAAAAGAAGCAACAGATGCCACCTGCTAGTGTCATGAAAGGGCTCACTCTTATCATGATTTCGAGGAAGCTCATAAAAAATCCCAACACTTAATTAAGCCTTTTGGGACTGATTTGGTCTCAATTTTAGATATATGTTAATAATGGTTAAATATACCCAACAAGTCCTCAATTATGGTTTGAGAGCTGGGAAGGACCAATGCTTCAATTTCTGCTTCTATGGAAAAAACACACTTTGTGGTAAGGTCTAATGTCTTCATAAATACTAGGAGATTCATGGTACAACTTAATTAAATCATATTGTTTTAACCATATTTTGAATTTTGATGGCTAAAAATGAAAAATAAAAATAAAAAATAAACTCAAAAGAGAAGCTCATATTTGTTGAGATGATTAATCTTTTATCAGCTTGTCAAGTAAATTTTTTTCGTATGAGCTGCATTTATTTTACTAGAGCTCAAGTACCCTTTTTTGCCACTAACAGGAGCTCAAATATTGCTTCTATATACTCCATTGTTGAAGCCTCCACATTCTATTGTGTTAATTCATCGATCTTGTATTAATTGTCGCTTTTTGTAGCAGAGTCCACAAAAAGTTAATGGGGCTTATTGCTTGAATTCCTTTATTTAATTTACCACATTCATGGTAAGTAATACCACATAGCAAAGGAAATTTGCACTAATACTTTCTCCAAGTTTCCACTCCTGACCAAGTTTGAAGAAATGAGATGTCATAATTTCGTGATCAGTAAAAAATTCTTGATTATTAGAAAATGAGAGTAGCCTTTATTTTTTAGTTCCTACCTTTTGTTTACTATTGCATGTATTTAATCTTGATATACAGGTATGCATGATTTGATGGATAGTGCAAGTCTTGCTGGAGAGGATACTTGATATACTGGAATGCATGGAGATAAAAGGTTAGTTCGAAATTTCGGGCAAGTGGTTCTCCCTTTACAAGCCTGAAGAAGGTGGACATGGAAGGAGATGAATAAAAGAAGCAACAGATGCCACCTGCTGGTGTCATGACAAGGCTCATTCTAATCATGATTTCGAGGAAGCTCATAAAAAATCCCAACACCTAATTAAGCCTTTTGGGACTGATTTGGTCTCTAATATCATTCAGGTACGTGATAATCTCTCTCTCTCTCTCTCTCTCTCTCTCTCAACATGTGAAGTTCTATAGTTACAACAATTAAGAACATAATTTTCGAAAAAACAATTAAGAACATAGTGGCTTGTTTTTTTTCCTAGTTAACATAGTGTCATTTCGATATAAGTCTCAAGCTGGAATTGGCACAATATCGGGAAGATTGCTCAATTTGGGTGAGATTGATCATAGAACTCTAAATGAATGCTTGTTTTCATTTCCTAATGGCTATGCTATGGTTGAGTGGTATTTTTGGTTGCTTAACCAATTTTAATTTCGTTTCCTAGATTTGGTTGCTGTTACTGTCTTGATTGTTGAAGCTGTGAGGGTTGGGTGCTGCCTGTCCACTCTGTGTTGGTGTCATTTGACTTGTCCTGCTCTTCACTTGACTTATTCTTTGGTGTCACTTGGATGGTGCCTTTTAGTTAATTGCCTTTTGTGTTGTAACCGGATGATGTTGTTGCTCTTCATTTGTATTCTGCTAATTTAGCAGATCTGATGTATACTATACTATTGTGCTACTTCACAGTTGTATATATATTGACTGAAATTATACAAGACAGTTGTCATTGTTCATGTCAAATGGAGTTAATTCAATATTTTATTCAATGCATGTGCAACTTCCAATTCTTATAATGTTTTTCTTGTCAATTTCCAATTTCCAGGTGTTAATTCTATTATTATTATTACTTTTTTAAAAATAAAAATAGATGTACATGTTTTTTTTTTTTGTTTTTTTTATTTTATATGGTACTTACACACATGACTCCACTGAAACTCAAATTCCTAACCACCCTTTATAAAGTACTTGTGGCTCGGTACCACTAACGATTGGTCATGTACATGTTCTCATTTGTTCATTTGATTATTATTATAAAGTTGGACCATGGAACAAAAGGGAAAGTTTAAATCAAAGGGTAGCCATATGTTTTTAAAATAGCCAATACTCTGAGTTATTGTTAATTCCACTGTTGATCAAACAAGTGAAAAATGTATAATTTGTGTGTTGCAAAAGCCAATATTCATATTGTTCATTCAAGTCTTTATCAAACAACTGGAAAATGCCTTAGGGCAAAATTTTATCAGTGTCATTTAGTATAGAAACTAGATGATGAAGTTCCAATTGAATGGACAAGCCAAATCAAGTAATAAATAGGAAAGCCAAAACAGTAGAGCCAAACTTTTCGAGGAAAATTTTTTACACTCATTTCTTTTTTTTTTTGCCCTGACAAACTAATACAGCAACAAGATCAATACAAACAATTTTTCGCTGCCAAATCCAGAATATCAGCAGGAATATGAACAAGAGTAATATCATTCGTAATATGATTTCGAGAAAGCTGGGCAAGAGCATAAGCGACTCCATTGCCATGCCGACGGACATGACTAAGACGCGAAAAGGAGAAACGCTCAAACAACACTTGCACATCAAAAGAGATAGCATGAATTTCAACCGGACCACAATCCACCCCATTCACCGCCTGAACCAGCAATGAATCACATTCAAACCAAACATGATAAAAAAACGTGGGATAAAGCCCACAAGACTGTTTTACGAAGAAAAATAGCTTCGGCCTGGGAAGCACTATGCGCCGGGAAAGGAGAGAAAACCACCGACTGCAAAATCTGACCTTGAGAGTTCCTGAAAACAGCCCCCTCACCGCCGACCTTATTCGACAAGCAAAACGATGCATCCACATTACATTTAACAATACCCATAGGAGGGGGAGACCAGTGGGAAGCAGATGGAGGATCTGGCAGAACAGAAGCGTCGACCATCGAGGTGGTAACCAAACTATGGATAGATGAATCAATGGAATTCTTAAATTCCCAACACTGAGATGAAACCCAGCTAACAATCCGCAAAGGAGTAAACAGTTCTCCCTCAAAAACAAACCTGTTTCTCACCTTCCAAATACCCTAACAACAAAAAGCCACCAAACCACGCAGATCCTGGCCCTCTACTCCTTGCCCCCATTGGATCAGCATAGTCAACCACCATTCCTTAAAAGAAACTAGAGAAGTAGACATAAAATCAAACCTTAACGGTGATAATTTCCATACCTAGCGAGAATGAGGGCACTGAAACAACAAATGCTCAATGGATTCCTCAACAATACCACACCTAGGACACACTGGCTCCACCCCTATACCATGCAACTAGAGAAGGCTACGGACCAGAAGAACAGAATTATAACATTTCCACAGAAAGTGTTTAATTTTGGGGGGAACTTTACATTTCCACAAACGACGCCAACCAGTGTTCTGTGAAGAATCGAGATAAAAAATTTCCTGGGATGGGGATTCCCAAGCCCGTGCCACGTGGTTAGCCAAACGATAGGCAGATTTGATAGAGAACCTACGATTGGCCTCACCATCCCATTCCAACTTATCTTCCTTAGAGCAACAACTGAAACTACAAGCAAGAATAGCAGCAACAATGGACGGTTGGAATAAAGAATTAAGCAATTCCACATTTCAACCAGACAGTGTAGAATTAAAAAGCTCATGCACCAAATTTGGAGTCACCATAAAAGCAGGCCTTGAAAGTGTGCCAGATAAACCAAGACCCAGCAATCCTAGCTTCCAAATATTGATAGATTGGCCATTTTCCACCACCCATCTAGATCCAGCACCTAGAGGATGTTGTGTGGACCAAATACTTCTCCAAGCCCAAGAAGGATTAGATCCCAATGGTGCTTCCAAAAAGGAACAAGTCCGAAAGTATTTAGCTTTAAAAATTTTAAAAGCAAACCCCTGTTGATTAACTTGAAAATTCCACCCCTGCTTAGCCAACAGTGCAGCATTATAAGCCTCAAAATTACGAAATCCTAACCCTCTTCCTCCTTTGCATTGCATAAAATATCCCATTTAACCCAACTAATATTAGTAGACTCACCATCTTTACCCCACCACAACCCACGAATAATCTTCATCATTGAATTACATAGCTTACGGGGTACCTGAAAACAGGACATCACATAGGTTGGTAAGGCATTTAAAACTGTTTTAATTAAAATTTCCTTACGTGCCGAAGATAAAAGCATAAACTTCCAGTTTGCCATACGAGTAACAATTCTTTCCGAAATATAATGGAATACATCCCATTTAGAACGACCGATAATTGCAGGCATACCCAGATATTTAGCACACAGCCCTTCCTCCTAAATTCCCAGAAACTGACACAAGCTTGCACGACCCTCAGCACTTGTATTTGTGGAGAAAAAAATAGAGGATTTAAAAAAATTAATCTGTTGCCCAAATACTTGTTCATACTGCTTTAAGAGATTTTGCAGAAAGACAATCTCAGAATTAGATGCCTAAAAAAAATAATAGAGTCATCTGCAAAAAACAAATGTGAAATAGGAGGCGCATGGGGACAGAAACGAATCCAAGATAGAACACGATGCTGAAGGGCCATCTACAAAGACATGGATAAAGCCTCTGCACACAAAATAAATATGTACAGAGATAAAGGGTCCCCTTGTCTTAGCCAACGTGTGAGTCGAAACATACCAACAAGTCTACCATTAATCAATACTGAATATGAGATCGTAGAGATACAAGCTTGGATAAGCTGAATCCAATGCAGATGAAAACCAAGTTTAGTAAGCATGGCTAGCAAAAAGTTCCATTCAATTCGATCATAGGCCTTACTCATATCCAATTTCAAGGCCATAAAAGCCTTCTTCCCTTTACGTTTAGTTTTAAAATAATGTAGTATTTCATGAGTGATCAGTATACTATCAGTAATGTGGTGTCCCGGAACAAAAGCACTTTGGGACTCACTAACAACTAAGGGAATGACATGTTGGAGTCTATTAGCAAGCACCTTTGCCACTATTTGATAAGCAACATTACATAATGAGATAGGCCTATAATGAGAAACAAGAGTCGGAGACTCAATTTTTTGAATGAGAACAATATTTGTATGATTCATACTAGATAATAAATGACCGGAATGCATGAAACTACGTACCGCAGCGATGACCTCATTCTTGATAATATGCCAATATTGCTGATAGAACAATGGAGTCATACCATCCGGACTTGGAGCTTTGCATGGCTGCATCTCAAAAAGAGCCCGACGTATTTCGTCTTCTGAAGGTTGCTGAATTAATGCATGATTCATATCTGGAGAAACGCGAGATGGAATGTGCCTGAGAAAATGGTCAATTCCCGTAGGAATATTCGTATGGAACAGATCTTGAAAATAACTTAGAAACAGATCCTGAATCTGAGACTCCTCCTCAATCCTCCTGCCATTTGAATCCTCAATCCCACATATATGGTTTCTTCGTTGTCTACAGGCGGCTGATGCATGAAAGAATTTCGAATTACGATCCCCCAACCTGAGCCAGTTAATCCAGAATTTTTGAAACCAATACAACTCCTCATGCCTCCACAAAGAATTCAACTGATGTTCTTCAAGAAGCACCTGTGCATGATCATAGTCCTCCATGTTTTCTTTCAAATGTTTCAATCGGAGTTCAATTTGGTCAATCTGGTTCCGAGAATTGACTTTTGTAGTTCGAACCCAGTGGAATAAAGCTTTCTTGCAGGATTTGATTTTTTCTGACCACCGATACATACGGGAACCATATATAGACACCCTCCACGCATCGCGAATGATATCGGCACACACAGGATCAGACACCCACCTAACATCAAAATGGAATTGGCAAGACTTCTTAGAAAATACCGGCAAGAGTTGAAGAAGCATAGCACAATGATCAGACCTAGCAACCATGAGATGGCGCAGGCAAACTTTAGGAAACAACCGACACCAAGATTTGCTAAGGCTCGATCCAATCGTTCCTGAATATGAGCTCGCCCGCTCCGGTGATTACTCCACGTGAAAGGATACCCCTCAAATCCCAAGTCCAATAACCCACAATCGTTCACCATAGTTAGAAAATTCTTCAACACCCAATAGGGCTTTGGAATACCCCTTTTTTTTTTTATAGGTGATAACAAATCATTAAAATCTCCAATTAGAAGCCAGCAGTCCCCCCATGACTGTTGCATACGTTTAAGATATTCCCATTGTGCCGCATGAATGCCATCATCAGTACTAGCGTATATGAAAGTTAGAATCCAGAAACCTTGACCAGCTAAATAAAATTCCACCGTAATTTGATACTCACAGTAATCCACAATGCGGAATATATTTTGAAGGTTCCAAAACACAGCAATACCCCCAGCTGCCCAACCGAGTCTACACTCCATACAAAATTCACCTTTAGCCGTCGTTGAATCCACTGCAATTTCCTTAAGTGCGTTTTGGTCTCAAGTAAGACAATAACATCCGGACAGTGATGTCTGTTAAGTTGCATCAGTTGTCTAACAGTGATAGGATTACCCACCCCTAGGCAATTCCAAACTAAGAACCATAGGGGAGGGTAGGGCATAATACAGGAAATATCAGAATCACAAGGAAGATGAGCACCCACCGGTTTCGTACCTGAAGAAGAAGCTTCGCCTGTGTTACGATGACTTGGCCGACCAATTAAGTCAATACACTGGTCAAGATGGGGAAAATGGACCATACTAGAAGAGCCCAACTCTAAAGTCGACACATCGCGTAACCCCACAACTGAGCTGGGGTC